CGTTGCCGGACACGGAAAAAAGACAAAAAAAAAAAAAAAAGAAGAAGTATAGTTGAAATCAGGAAAAATCTCAATGCATGGAGGAGGGTATAAGGGTATAGGTAAGAATATGACTTTAGGGCCAGCCCGGTGGCGCACTGGAGAGTGTGCCGCTTGGGGCGAGGGTTTGGATCCCATGTGGAGACTGGTTCCCACTCACTGGCTGAACGCGGTGCAGGTGCAACACCGAGGGTTGCGATCCCGTTGCTGGTCCCCGGTACGGGCGCGACATTGAGGGTTGCGATCCCGTTACCGGTCAGTAAAAAAAAAGACAAAAAAAAAAAAAGGATATGACTTTAAATCATTATTAATAGTTCACTATATGAGAAAAGATGTGAAGTCTACAAAATGCATCCTTGCTTAATTAGCAAGAAATAGGTTCCCTGTTACTTTCTTTTATGTTTAAACCCCTTATGATTGAACCCTTTTAAGAAGAATATAAATATATTTATCATGCTTACAATAGAACCAGATCAAATAAGTTGACAGTGGAAAAGACATTGTAAAAATGCATATTAGTATGCAAATAAGTATCCACATAAGGAAAAACATTAGGCAAAACAATACTTTAAATGTTTTTATTATAGGAAATCCCAAATTTTAAAACATATATGAAAATAGAGAAAATAATCTATTCTCAAGTACCTATCACCTAGCTTCAATTATCAACTTATGATCAATCTTTTTCATCTGTATTCCCACCCTCACTCCTCTTTATTTTAAAGCAAATCCTAAACATCAGATCATTTCATCTGTAAATATTTTAATATATATGTCTAACAGAAAACAACACTCTTTTTTAAAAAGCAAAACTGTAATACCATTATCACATGCCCAGAATTAATAATTCCTTGATATTCAGTCAATATTCTTTCTAAGGAACTCTACCAACAACACTACTGTGCTGCCTATGCCACTTGGATCTAAATACTATTTTATGATCACCCTCATGGAAAGCTGGTACTAGTGAGCACAGAGATAAGAATGGGGAGGGGAGTGTTCAACTACTTGCCTCATTTCCTCCTGGAAGCCTGTTCATCTGGACCAGCTGACCTTGATCATCCAACACCAGTTCGGTATATGTCAGTATGTCAGAAGGCAGAGGGGGTGATGGAAGGAATGCCTGAGTGGACATAGACTCCCAGAGTTTGATCAGGGACTAGTAGAGGAAAAAAGTTTGACTAATTAGTGACAATTAACATTTCAATATGGGCAAAATAATTATTAAGATTTGGTCAATCTGGTTTTGCTTTATTTTCCAAGTGTTCTGCAGATAGTCTAAGCATTAGACCAAATTCTCTAGCTCCCATTCTCAGTTAAAATAGATCTGTAATTATTTTTTATTTAACGTTTTTTACATGCTAAAAGTCAGGTACTTTCCAACAAAGTCAAACTATTGAGCAACTCTGAATCAGCACTGGAGCATTAACAAACACAAATGACCTAATACGATCCCAAGAATGCTACAATAAAAAGCTAAAAATGTAGCATCAACTCTTTCTAAAAAAAATTAAAAATAAAAATCCTAGAGAAACTTGGCAATAGAAGAATACCCAGGAAAGTTTCATTACAATCAGCTAATACAAAGAAAATCCAAGAAGGCCAGAATAAAGTTTTTTACTAGAGGTTCAGGAGAAGAATCCTCTTTCTAATAGTTTTCATAGCTACAGGCCCATACACAGGAATTAGCTCACTAGATGTGTATGACTCTTTGTAAATGTGCAGATGAATTCTGCTCAGTGCATGGAGGAGGGTGAAATTTGAGGAAACAGACACACCTATTCATTTTAAAACCATTATGATTTCCATTTCCAACTTCCTGTAAATAAAACAAATCTTTCATGTAATGTTTACTAGTTCAGTTCTTTCTTTGCTTGCCTCAAAGCAACATTTAAAGCCCAAATGACTTATATATATCTACATGTTATAATCACTGTGTTTGTGTCTATTATATAGGAAGAATTACACAGAATGGGATTTCAATTTCTCGCATTAGCACTGGAAAACAAAACCAACATTCAGCTTTTAGACTAACAATGCTATAAAAGGGAAATACTAAAGGAAAGTAGGTATATTTGAAGCAGTAGAACTTGTAAACAAATGGTTACATAAAAGTAATCTCTTGTATTTGTGAATAATACAGGAATTATAATTTACCAAGTCTACATATATCACTTTATTAAAATTCAAATGTGATAATACTGGTAGCATTGACTAGGAGACTTGGAAAAATCCTATATTCATAGGTTTTTTTAAAGGACAAATTCAGTATACTTTTGATACCTTATTCTTTATCTGCTGCATTTTCTGCTGGTGATATACTTTTCTTGCCTTCTATTGATGGAAGAAAAATCTGCAGCATAGAGATGATTCACCATACAGATCAAAGGAATTTCTTTTCATAGAGGATGAGATTCATAATGTCATATTTTCCCACACTAGTTTTTATTCACCTATAATAAATCTCCCACAAAAGAACTTATACTTTAAACTGTGTACCATGAATTCTATATCCATTTGTCTATGCTTATATGTTGATTCTCGTCATTTTAACCTAGGCTATCAGCTAGGGACCTGGCTTACCTTGGAAAAAAGAAAAATGAGAACGAGAGTTTTTATATCTCCTTTTTAATATCCCTAATTTGAATACAGACTTAGGAAATATATATGTAACTCCTCACACAGGTCATTGTAAACTACCACCACAGGCATGTGGTCTTAGTTTACTCTCTTCTACTAAACAGACTTCTATTCTCACAATTCCTCCTGTTAATTCAATATCTGAGTTGGGAGTCACCAAACCCAGAATGAAATAGAAATGAAAATAGTGTCAAGGTATATCCTGACTTTTGAGAGTACCCCTTTCTAGTCAAAGCTGTATTTGATGGAAATTCAAAAAAACCCTGTTAGCCAACTTTACCTGCCGAAACATCTCAGGGATATCATATATGTATGTTGTCCCTAAAGATTGTGCTTGGAACCTCTTTGACTGAAGCAGGTCTTTGGTCACATATGGAGTATTGATTAACATTCCATGCAGTGGTCCCTGTTTATCTCCATATGCCTGAAACATGATCTGCAAGAAAAAAAGAATGGTATGGGGAGTTAAAAGACAAAAAAAAGAAAAATTAGCTGCCTAGAGAGGCTTTTTGCACAAACATTCTTTTTTATTTTTTAAAAGATGACCGGCAAGGGGATCTTAACCCTTGACTTGGGGTTATTAGCACCACGCTCACCCAGTGAGCTAACCGGCCATCCCTATATGGGATCTGAACCTGTGCCCTTGGTGTTATCAGCACCACACTCTCCCGAGTGAGCCACGGGCAGGCCCTCACAAACGTTATTTCTTGAAAAACATTTTTGGTGGGTTGAGTAGGTAAGACATGCCTCTTAAGATTGGGTACTTCTCACCTCTCTACAGGTTAACCAACTCTAAAAAAATGATATGTAACCAGCCATACAACTAGGCTGCTCTTACTTTTGGATTAGTTGAAATCAACAAGAAAGCACCATGCAAATTTCACATCTCAGAGACAGACTGATGATGATGCTTGTCTTCTAAAGTGACTTGAATCCCATATTCTCAGAAATGAGGTATATTTGAGCAGTCCTAGTATTTAAGTTGAGAAACAGCTATGCACTAAAGATATTTCTCTTCTTTCCCCAGTGGTAGAAAGCCAGATCAAGGCTCTATCATATCATTTGTACTTTAATACACTTGGTTAGAAGGTGATTCACAAGTATTATCAGCCACACAAAGGCTTCAAAGATTTCTGCCAGAAGTGGATTTCATCCATCCATTAATTCTTGTTAGCTCATAAGACATCACCTATAGTAAAATAACTAAATTTTATTAAATTATATAAAGTAAAATATACATATTTCCCCCAGTATACTGTCGATAACTAGTAAATAGCTCCTGCAGTACCTATATTGTCATGTAATGCAATCACCACACTAGTTTTTAATGATTTTAACTCAAATATTTCTAAGAATACTTCATACTCCATATACTTAGTTTTATTTGCTTATGGATATTTATAGGGGATACCATTATTTCAATTCAATTAATGTTTACTGAGTGCCCAGAGGCTGTGTAACACTAAACTAGGCACTTTATGCATGAATACATATAATGTAGATTCCAAAAGCAGTGAATACAGATGGAGATTAGGATATAAGAGTATGTGTATACCTACGTATCTCTTTGGGCCTTAAAAAATAAGCATAATTCTACTGTTAATGAATAGATTTGTAGGCCTGATATATAAGCATAGAAATAGAATTAAGTACTTTCCTAAATCCCAGATACAGTTCAGCTGAGTCCTTAGCCCCTTAGCTCAGAGGCGCAAGAGAGTTCTGCCGACTTGTCAATCAGGTCTTATTCCGGGCAAAACCTGTTTCAGGCTACTTTTCTTTTTCTTTTTTTGGTGGCTGGCCAGTACAGGAACCGAACCCTGAACCTTGGTGTTATCAGTACCATGCTCTAACCAGCTGAACTAACCAGCCAGTCCTCAAGCAACTTAAGGTCCATAGACTGGAGCTCCCAATCCTGTTCTACAAGACCAATGGAAAAAAGTCATCATGTGGGAGGTAGAATTAGTAATGTCTTAGGAATGTGAGAATAGAAACAGTAATGTTTTTATAAGAGATTCAAAGTGTTGAGTAAGGCAAGGGTACAATATAAGAAAACTGGACTCAGGAGGTAAGCCAAATCAAAATAGGAAAAAGGAATAAAAGCAGCAAGTTCCTGGAAGTAAATTTCTTGTCTATTAAGAGAGACATGACCTGTGGGTACAGGGTTTGAGACTGAGTTTTGCCAAGCTCTGGGATGAAGTTAGGCATGTCATAGTTAAGCAATATAACTGCACTGAGGAAGGGGGTTAGAGAAAGCCCTCAAGGTACATATATTGGGGTACTTCAAAAAGTTCATGGAAAGATTCATATTATCTTTTAATTCTATTTTTCCACGAGCTTTTTAAAGTACCCTTGTATTACTGGTGAGAAATTAAAATGGTACCACCACTTTGGCAAACTGTATATTTCTTATAAAGTTAAACATGTACTTACTAGAGCCCAGCAATTACAGTCTTACGTATTTACCCAAGAGAAATGAAAACATTTACACAAAGATGTATAAATGAATGTTCATAACAGCTTTATTGCTAATGGCCCAAACTGGGAAATAAAACTCCAAATGTCTATCAAGAGGGAATGGACATTAAAATTTTTGGTAAATCCCTAAAATGGAAAACTACTCAGCAATGAAAAGGAACATACCTATAATCCATACAACATGAATGAATATCAAAAACATTATGCTGAGCAAGAGAAGCCAGACACAAAATAGTACATATTATCTGATTTCATTTATATGAAATTCTATGACAGGCAAAACTAATCTATAGTAACAGAAAGCAGATCAGTGGTTGCCTAAGGCTGGAGTTGGTGCCTACACTTTTGACTGCAAAGGAGGATGACAGAACTTTTTGGGATGAGATGTTCTCTATCATTGTGATGATGGTTACAGGGGTATATAGAATTGTCAGAATGAATTGAATTGTACACATAAAATAAGTCCATTTTATTATATGTAAGTTATACCTCAATAAAGATGATTTAAAAATGTTATTTCTCCCTTCTGTGCCACATTGTAAATCAATTCACTTGGATTATCCAAATCTCTTCTCCCACTGTGACTGCCCTACATTAGTGCTCATTACAACCTATACCACAAAGACTGTACAAGGAAAATGAAGCAAAATGAAAGCCAAGCCAGTTAACCTGCTCCTTATTGTCAGAATGAATAAATGATGTGGTAGGACAAGAGGTTTGCAGTAAGGGACAATAACGGAAGCTTTTGAATGATCAGCCATCTATGTTAGTTCCATTTTCTATGATAATGAATACAGTAATTAAAAACTGGTAAATGTTTTATAAGTTCATGAAAATAGGTACATAATTTATATATCACACACCTTTCTCCAGAAGCCATCAAAAGGGCTTCTCTTAGAAAACAATCTCTGGGCCGGCCCGGTGGCGCATGGCTATAGTGCGCCGCTTGGGAAGTGCGGTGGCGCTCCCGCCGAGGGTTCGGATCCCACATACAGACCGGCCGCTCACTGGCTGAGCAAGGGGCGGGAGCAACACCGAGGGTTGCGATCCGTTGCCGGTCACAAAAAAAGACAAAAAGGAAAAAAAAAATGTGCTATACCTTTGTAAGAAAATTATGTAACATTATTAAAGAGATTTTTAAATCCTAAATAAATATAGAGATATAACATATACATGAAAAAGAACTCTCGTTACCCTAAAAATGTTGGTTTCCAAACTGATCTACAGATCCCTAACAAAATCCTTATAGAGTTTTTCATGGAACTTGACATGCTAGTTCTAAGATTCATACAGAAGAGCAAAGGGTCAAGAAAAGCTAAGACATTCCTGAGGAACAAGAGAGGAGAAGCAGACTGTTCTATGAGACATTAAAATATAAATAAAAACATAGCATTTAACATAGCATGGAATTGGGAGGACATATACAAGGCTGGCCGGTTAGTTCAGTTGGTTAGTGTGGTGCTGACTATAGCAAGGTCAAGGGTTCTAATCCTGGTGCAAGCCAGATTCCAAAAAGGAATTTAAAAAGTTTGTGGAAAAATAGAATTAATGGGCCGAGCCCGTGGCGCACTCGGGAGAGTGCAGTGCTGGGAGCGCAGCAGCGCTCCCGTCGCAGGCTCGGATCCTATATAGGGATGGCCTGTGCACTCACAGCACTCACTGGCTGAGTGCGGTGCGGCCTGTCTCAAAAAGGACAAAAAAAAAAAAAAAATAGAATTAAAAGACAATACAAAACTAAGGTCAAGGGTTCAGATCCCTGTACTGGCCAGCCTCCAAAAAAAAAAAGATAATACAAATATTTCCATGAACTTTTTGAAGTACCATTGTATATTGAGACTAAGGGAACAGGATAAAAACAAACTCAGAAACACACGTTTCACATGTACACACACTTGGTATATGACGAAGTCCATGCAGCAGATAAGTGGAGAAATAATACATACTAATAAATAAATGATGCTGGGATATTTGATTATCCACAAGGAAAAGATAATACAATAGTTCAATATTTCTAAGCCACTATTATTCAAATCACTTATTTGCAGCCAAATCTAACTCTCTTTGATAGTGATTCCAATCTCACACCAAACACGTAAATGAACTCCAGAAGAATTAAGGACCAAAATGTGAAAAACAAAACATTTACACTGTTACTTTTCTTTTTCTTTTTCTTTTTTTTTTTGTCTTTTGTCTTCTTCTGTGTCCAGCAACGGATCGCAACCCTCAGTGTTGCCCCCGTACCGGACCGGGGACCGGCAACGGGATTGCAACCCTCGGTGTTGCTCCCGAGCCTCGCTCAGCCAGTGAGCGGGAACCGGTCTGTATGTGGGATCTGAACCCTCGGGCGGGAGCGTCGCCGCGCTTCCCAAGTGGTGCACTTATCCAGTGCGCCACCGGGCCGGCCCCTACACTGTTACTTTTCTATGGGAGAATGTCTTTATGAAATTGGAGTAGAAGGAAATTCTTAAATAAGGTTTTAAAGAAAGCAAAAATCATAAATAAAAAGATTGAGACATTCATTCCAATCAAAAGCCTATTCATCAATAGCAAAAAAAGAGAAAATAAATTGGGAAAAGTTATGTCCAATGCACATTTAAAAAGAGAATAACACCAAGAATATATCAGAACTTCTATAAATCAACTGAAACAAGACAAACAACATAATAGGATAAATGGGCAAAAGAGATAAACCACTGCAAAGTTAGAGGGTACAGTGCACAGGACCACCCTCACTTCTGACATCAACTGCAAGTCCAGGGGGTTCTCAAAACCGCACTCAGGTTGGATAATTAGCTAGAAGGACTCACAGAACTCATTGAAAGCTGTTTAACTCACAGTTACATTTTGTCACAGGAAAAGGATTAAGATCAAGAGGCCTTTAAAATCTTTAAAAGAATAAAATGAGCCAAGGGAAAAAGCCCATAGGGCAGAGTCCCGGAAAGTACCACGTGCAGAGCTTCCAGCTGTCCTCTCCCTTGGGGTCAAGACAGACTTACTTTCCCAGCACTGATGTGTGACAGTACTCACAGGGTATTGCCAGCTGAGTAGCTCACCAGAGCTCGGTGTCCAGAGCCTTTACTGGGTCTCCATGGCCTGTGACCCACATGGCTGACCTCGGTCTCCAGGCCCTCCAAGGCAAACTGACAAAGCCCCACTATCAACTTCATCCTTATTCACATTGTTAGTCTGTCCGGTATGACCTGAAGGCCCCAGGCAAACAAAAACACTCCTATCAGGTGTGATATTCCAAGGATTTAGAGATGACCTCTAAGAAGCTGAGGACAAAGGCCAGACCCTTCTTGGGAAAGGTCAAATACTTTACTACACAACCACCAATTCATAGTAAAAAAAAAAAAAACCTCATAAATGGCTAATAGGCACGTGAAAATACTCAGCCTCACTAGTAATTAAGGGACTTGCAAATTAAAACCACAGTGAGACGCTATTTTATACTCATGAATTTGGTGAAACATAAGTGTGGCAATAACAAGTGTTGAGTGATAGGGAGCCACATACACTGCCAGTGAGAGAGTCAACTGCGGACACCACTGGGAGGACAGTTTGGCAATACTAGTAAAACTGCAGGCATGTACATGCTAGTGTCCCTCTCACATGTAAATCAGAGGAAATGCTCAAGAGCGTCTGTAGCAACATTGTTTGTCATAGCTATAAACTGGAGACATCTTCAATGTCCATCACCAGGAAAATGGATAAACAAATTGAAAGAAAGTGAGCCGAGACGATGGGTACTGTTCAAGCTTTATTAAGGAAAAGAATCTGCTGGGCTGCCCTGAAAATGGGGGACAGCACCGGGTGTGGGGGTGGTGGAGCTTATATTGGTGTGTTGGCGCCAAGAGCTGGGTGATGTAATTCCCGGGTGGGGATTGAGTTAGGTCATGGGGATGGACAGTTCTGCACATGCAGAAACACCAAAAGTTTCATTTTCTCTGAAACCATAAGGCTTCTTGTGAAAGAGTGGTGGATGGTGCCATTTTGGCCTTGGGCTTGTCTAAGATGGTGCTGGTTATGTTGCAGATCTATTACAAATTATGTATTTATGCAATGAAATATTATATATGCCAGTGAAAAAGAAATAAAGCTGTGCATATCAGAGTCTGAATCTTTTTTTTTTTTTTTTTAAAGATGACCGGTAAGGGGATCTTAACCCTTGACTTGGTGTTGTCAGCACCACGCTCACCCAGTGAGCAAACCGGCCATCCGTATATGGGATCCGAACCCGTGGCCTTGGTGTTATCAGCACCGCACTCTCCCGAGTGAGCCACGGGCCGGCCCTAGAGTCTGAATCTTATGAACATGATCCTAACAAAAAGAGCAGTTGCAGAAAATGTTTTAGTATAATATTTATATAAAATCTACATTATTTGTGTAAAGCTTTTAAAAATATGTATTGTTTAGGGATACCCACATATGTGGTTTTTTTT